CCGATAAGCTTTTTGGATACTATTCAAATAAAAAACAAACCTTATGGGACAACTTGGATGCGTTCTTTTTTTTTTTTTTCTTAATGCTTTGCAAAATATTGGATCGGACTCGGTATCAGACTCGGTTTCAAAATAAAGGACTCAGTATCAGATTGCGTGCAGAAAAAAATGTGATCGGGACATCCCTAAATATTACAGTTTCAGCAAAAATGTATGTGCTTAGGAAGTACTGAGCATATGACTGGATAAATGGGACTTGGATTATACTGCACGAGTTGTGTGAGAATTTGTAAATCTATATTTTGATGTAGTTTTGCTGTTGGTAAACATGGACCCCTATGACTTCAATTCATCAAGAATGTTTGCGTTTTTTGGATTCTTCGTTCACTGTGGAGGTATGCAAGTAAACCAAAGTTTCTTAATTAATTTAGCATAACACTGGGTGAGTAATTGACATATAAATGATTATTTTATGGGTGAAGTATTCCTTTAATAGTTTGTGGATAGCCAATGGAGCTCCATGGCACACATCAGGCTTTGGACAAACATACCATTGTTTGTTGTGGACTTTTCATGAGAGAGTATATTTAAAAACCTGGTGGCATTATCCTAATCCTTTTCAATGTGGAGCTGACCACATGTTATATCCATCCCTCCCCCACAGATAAACACCTGTCTACTATCTAACACTATTTTAACCAAATGAGATAAGGTACCACCATGTCATCATCATGCTGTAATCCCAGCCCTTTACCACGGGAACTGGCGTCACTTCTATTTTCAGGGGGTTTGACACGTCTGTGTTTTGTCACCAGTAGCTGTTGACCAGAGGTGTTAAAGGGAAATCACTCACAGTCGCATCTTCACCCCCTCCTTCCTGCCTGGTTTTAGTTGTGCACAGGAAGAGTTGAAACAAACAAGTCAGACATCCTTACATTAAGAAAGAGTAAGGATTTTAGGTTACAACACTCTGATGGGCCCCAAAGCTACCATGTGAATACAATTTGGAAAAATTGTAAGTATATTTGCCTCCAAATGAACAGTTAGGCATATAGAAGTACTCTTAATGACCTCATCTCTCCTCACACTCTGTCTCACCCTGTGTGATTATGAGTCGTGATGAATGAATGGTGCTCACACATTGTGTGTCACGCATGAGGCAGGGATTAGAAGAGGAACTCAACTGAGTGACAGCAGTATGTGACAGGTGAAAGGGAAATATCAACCTGTCTTTTTCTTCAATCTGGTATTGGCATGATGTTTGGAATCACCCAGCCTAAATGTACTGTTGCAGAGCAGCTTTACAGGTTTATGTTAAATGTGCTTACTCTTTCGCACAACAGATCTTTTTTTTCCTTCTTTTTCTGCTTTTTTTTTTTTTTTTGTATTGGCAAAGCAGAAGAATACACAAACTAAAAGAAGATGATATCTCTGGTTCAGCTGCATCACTTTTGATTTCTTGTTGTCAATCATGGTGTTGCAGGAGTGCAGTGCTGAATTGGAGAAGGACTCTTTAAAACATGCATACCCCTGTTTGTGAGAAGAGATATGGCGAGATGGATTCCCTCATTTCATTAGAACAGCCAATTATTGAGATGATAAATTCATGTATAAGGTAGAACAAAATGTGAAATAAATAATAATAATAATAATAATAATAATAATAATAATAATAATAATAATAATAATAAACTCTGTCTTTCGTAGCATAGTTACAAAGTGCTTTACGATAAAAACAGAACACATTTAAAACAGAAAGAGATTGAAACAAATTAAGAGCCAAAAAGTAGTAAGATAAACTAAAATGTCAGAAAATGTAAGTGAAATCACTGACAACCAATCACAAAAAAGTGGGTTTTTAAAAGTGATTTTAAAGATGAGACAGAGTTTGCAGACAGAGTTTGCAGCCCTGATCTCCTCAGGCAGGTCATTCCTAAGTCTAGAAGCTCTATCTATATCCCTTCTGTCAATTAATCTGGACCTTGGAACAACAAGCAGTGACACATCCAAGGATCTCACATTGTGAGAATGTACATAAGGCAATAACAGATCAGATACTTGGAGCAAGGCTTCTCAGGGCTTTGTAAGTAATCAATAATACCTTAAATCTATTCTAAAAGCATCAGGTAGCCAGTATAAGGAAGCCAGCATCTGGGAGATGTGGACAGGTTTTCTAACCCCAAGTCAAAATCCTGGCAGCAGAGAGAATCTCTCTCCCTACTCTGTGTGTATCATCATGTGCTGCTGCAGCCTTTACTTTAACCTAACAGCATTCAATTCAGACTTGTGTTGTTTATGTAAAAGTGACCAGGGGTGCTTATTCAGATATGAGACAGACATGTTAAATCGAGGTCTGACAGGGACTTAATTTAAGGTAGCTAAGAAATCCTTTAAGGCCCAGTGTGTAAGATTTACTGGGATTTAGTGGTGCCCAGTATTGATGATTGTAGATTGCAATCAGCTGAAACTTTCTCTGGTTAGAATTCCTTCATTGAGGTCTCTTCCTCTCCAAAACAAATGAACCAGGTGATTAGAACCGGTCAAAACACTGAATAAAGCAGTTTCACATGACAAATGAGTGTTTCTTTATTTCGCACATTGCAGGTAGGTTGCTATCCCACCATTTTCTAATGTGTGCTCATCTTAATTCTGATCCAGACGTGAGGTTTTTACTGTGAGCTGAATTATTATCTAAGGTGTTCTTGTCTCCATAAACAAAGGGACTCTGTGATTTAAACACTGCTTGTCGCGGAGGGGCTGAAAACTATGGTGGCCGACAAGAAAATGCAAATAGGCCTACTACTTACCTAGAGCCAGTGTTTGGTTTGCCTGTTCTGGGTAACTGTGGAAACATGGTGGTGTGGTGTTCTCCGCAGATGAGGACCTGCTCCCTTTGTAGATATAAACAGCTCTAAGCTTCTAAGGTAACAAAAACATGACAGCTCTTATTTCCAGGTGATTGTACACTAAAGAAAACATTTATTATATGATATTCCATTTCTGCCAATATGTCTCCATAAATCCTACACACTGGTCTTTAATTCTAATGTACCATGTTATGTTTCAATAAGCTTCTAATCCTTAACTAGGAAAAAAAAAGCACAGACACAAAGATTCATTTTGCCAGTTGTATGGATGCTCTCTTCTTTGCATGAAACCAGTCCAACAGACTGACAGTCAAGGGCCAACTTGATATGGAGATGTTTTGCTTTGGTTTGACAACGACAGGCACACAATGTAAACAGCACATGACTTTGGCGGTGTGACATGTCACCAGGTCTGACAGATCTGCTGAGGGCAAATCAGTCAGACCTGATGACATGTCACCAGGTCTGACTGATCTGTTGAGGGCAAATTTCTTTGCCTTTTGGTGCTCTGTGGGTGTTAAACATTGGAGGCTGCTTTCCTCTTCAATTGTGTTCACATGTTGCTGCTGTGGTACTGTATCCTTTCTGTTAAAGGATACCTGAACAATGAGATCACTGCTAAAAATCTGAGTTAAGATTTTCTTTCTCTTTTTAACTTCACTCATTCCCCTTAGTGATTTTTCTTTTCTTTCTGGTCTCTGACGTAATCTCTCCTCCCCCATTCGCTCCTGGTTTCACCCCCAAACCACTCCCTGTTCTTGTGCCTCACGTGCAGACACACACACACACACACACTACAATACAAAGCACTGAGTATGCTGGCTGACATAAATCAAGGTCTTTGAGGTTTGTTGGTGTTTGTTTCTGAGCACCTACACACATCTGTTTAACATTGAGATATTAATATATTAATATATGACTATATATGTGCATGGGGCCTCACAGGGAGTCAATGTGTCTGTGTACATTTTGTTCCATGTGGTCTTCTCTTGGAGGAGGGGAGGGGGGGATTCAGTTCACAGTCAACACCCAGGACAGGACTCCACGTGGCACTGCCTTTTCCCTGTTTCTCACTCTTTTTCACATGGCCTGACACGAGCTGGTGAACTGTGAAACATGAGCTCTGGTTTACATGCAGTGTTGTGCCACGTAATATAAACTCCTTTCAGGGTGTATTCAGACATTTCTTGTTTTGTGCTCAGGATTCTTGTCTTTATTTATTGTTCCAGCAGCCCAGTAGGACACTGGGTTAGTGTCACTCTAAACACAAACATGTGCAGGCATGCCTTTGGTCACTGTTACCACCATCTGCTGTAACTTGCTGGTATTACAGAGCAGTGTGGTGAACTGCAGTGCCAGGGTTTTTAGGGGAGAGTTGAAGGGGGGTCACAGAGGGAGAGAGGTGAGGCAAAGATCTTTGTGCATCAGCGTTCTAAAAACAGTAAGTTAGTTATTATAGTCTGGCCTGCCAATTTAAACCCAAAGCACCAGATTACTACAACTTGTGTCATAATCGTAGTCCTTTGTGGAGTCATAACTCAGTCAAATCTGAACACACAGACATACTCCATATATTTTTATAACTAGTATGACTTTCCAAAGATATAATTTCAGTGTCCACGATGAATTAACGTCTAGCAATCTGCTTAGAAGTCACAGAAAAAATATGCTCCTTTCAACTCCAGAACCTGCCTGAGAATCATCATGTTTTAAATTTTATTTAGATTAAAAGTAATACAATGATAGTTGTCTGTACATCCATTCATACATTGCAAACAGGAGCTGCTAATAGTTAATTTGTAATACTTTTAATGGTGCCAGGCTAAAAAAAGTCCGGCAAACTCACTGAACTCATGGCAACATTACACTTCCTGTTTACATCCCCCAAACATAGGTAATGATTATCTACTAAATAGAAGTAAGACAAAGAAAAGAATAATAAAAGGAGTGACCTGAACTAAAAATACAAACTCATCACATAGCACCATACACATATTATATGTAGTAATGTGGTGGGGGTGGAAGTGTCAGACTTTGAAACCTGTGATATGTACTGACTGAACTCAGTTATCTGTGCTGATGCAAATATTGTGTGTTCGATCTGTTCTAACGACCTGCTTTGACCCCTATCAGATCTCACTGGAGACGGAGCGCCTGGGTCCTCGTCGAGTGGAGAGCCTGAGGAAAGAGGATGAGGAGTGGCAGAAGAAGGCCCACGCTGCTGTGCTCTCTATACAGGACCTGACTGTCAAGTTCTTTGAAACCACGACTAGGGCACAGAAAGGTAAACATGTCAAAGGAGGCATTTCCTGTATTTATAAAGCTGTGAGGGGTATTTGTCTTTGCTGTGACCTTTGAACCTTTTGCGTTGTATGTTTACTCTATAACAAAGTGCAGTTAATACTCCACGTAGAGTTTATTTAAAACCAACATTCTCCATCTCAGATCTGCAACCTCTCACATACCAAAGTGATGTCTGCAAGTCCCTCCTCCCTCCAGATGAACTATAAAAAATACTCAAAATGATTGTCAATTATTAAAATAGTTGCCACATGTTGTATATCCATGAACTTCATGATTAATGGTCCATTTCTGACAGTCATATAATATGTGTTGCAGCTTTGTATGAGCGGATGCGTGCCGACCAGAGGAAGTTTGGCAAGTCAGCGTGGGCAGCAGCGGTGGAACGCATGGAGCGGCTGCAGTATGCTGTTTCCAAAGAAACTCTGCAGCTGATGAGAGCCAAGGAAATCTGCCTGGAACAGAGGAAACATGGCTTGAAGGAGGAGGTAAAGTACACCATGACACACACTGATGCTACTTGTGAGACAGTTTAGCTCTGATGTAGACCAAGTTGTGTGTGCCAGATTTTTAAGTTTATTTGAGTTTGTTCTCAAAAAACTTGTGATGATAGGTGAGTTTGTCAGAAGCCACAATAACCAGTTTTACTTAAAGGGATACTTTGCCTATTTTTAACCAGCTATTTATTTTAACAATTTGGGTAGTAATGTGTGAATGAACTGTGGTAAAGTTCCCTCTATTTTACCAGCGCCCAGATCTTCCTGCTCATCTCTCAATTCAAATAATCCGGTCAGAACATTTGCTGGCTCTAGGGCTGTTGCTCAAACTACAGATTGTACTTTCGCATTTTAGTTTGCCTACCATTACGGACACAAAGAGTACAGAAGCGGATTGACAGAATTTTTTTTATGAGAAGCTGGAGCCATACAGTCATTGAGCTCGGATGGCAAATTACGCAGCACTGATCAAATCTAAGGCAATACTCTTTTACTGTGTTGCCTATTTCTCACCTCAGAAGTTTTCACAAACATATTTTAGTGCACCATTTAACTTTAATTTGAGAGTTTATGTTACAAGTCAGCTGCTATATTGCTTTCTGTGTTGAAACGGACAAGCTCACATTACGTCAGTGATCAGTGGGAGTGTTCATTGGTGTGGAGCGGCGCAGTGCATTCTGGCAGTTGTAGGTTTTCTACCTTTTGCACAAAAGTAAATGCCACAGCCCTTTCAGAATCTTGCTTAAAGGGATACTTTGCTGATGTTTGACCAGCTTTGTATCATAACAATATGTTTAGTATGTGTAAATGAGCTCCATCTCACCAGTGCCCAAATCTCCCTGGTCATTTGTTGCGAAAATCTGATGGATGATGCGTTTTGCTGGCTCTCAGACAGATTTTACTTACTTATTTTTGTATGCCTTCCACCATGGACAGAAGGTGTATAGAGAGGACTCAGACCAAATGATAAAACTGGGAAGTGCTAATCAAAAACAAATCAAGATTCTATTACTGCTTTGCCTATTTCTTGCCTAAAATGTTTTCAGAAACATATTTTAGTGCACTGTTTGCCTGTAACTCGAGACAGTTTGTTCCCAGCCAGCTGCCATATTGCTTTCTGTGTGAAAACGGATGAGCTCGCATTACCTCACTGACCAGTGGGAGCATTTATTGGTCTCGTGTAGTGCAGTGCATTCTGGCAGTTGTAGGTTTTTCTACCCTTTGAGCAAAAGCAAATGCCAAAGCCTTTTTTCTGTCTTTTCTCTGGTCATGTAGCACCAGTATCTAAAGTAATTGCATCTTTCTACTGCATAGACAGTCCAGTTTTATGAAAAGACCATTTTTCTAGCAGTGAAAATAAGTGTGCATAAGTACTGACATCACAATATACCTCAAGCACTAAAAGTAAAAGTACACATCCTACAGAGTGGTTCATGTCAGAATCATATCTGTATTATATTACTGGATTATAAGTATGATACATTAATGTATTCATAATTTTCATGATGCAGCTGGTAAAGGCAGAGCTCATTTTAACTGTCGTACAGCTTAATTTATAATTATACATCATTTATTAGTTGACTTTTGTTTTGTGATAATAATCTGAGTATGTAGAGTAACTATTGCTAAGTAAACAATTTTGACAAATAAATGTAGAGGAGTAAAAAAAGATACAATATTGGCTTCCAAAATGTAGTGAAATACAGTATCATAAAATGGAAATATTTAAGTATAAATACCTTAAAATTGTACCATGCTTGAGTAAATGTACTTGACTGACAATAACACGAGTGAGGACCACAAACACTTGGACAAAGACTACTTGAGAGAGAGGGAAAAAAGGCAAGATAATGGCTGTGTTAGTAAAATGACCTCATGGCTCAGACATCCTGCAATGGAGTGAATAACATCCTGGTGTTCAACAGTGGAAGTGACTCATTGGGAATGACTGTAGGGGTCAATACTTTCTGTACATATGTAAATACATAAAAAGTACCTGGTGTATGTTGGCTCAGCACTTGGAGAAAGAGAGCAGGAGCACTGCCTCAGGTTCAGTTTCCACTTCGGTTAAAAACACATGCACAGACAGGAAGCACTGCAGAATCACTCAGCCTGTGCCACATGCCCCCTGGTCTGTAGTAGGAGAGTAATGCAATTGTGTGTTGTGCTGTTGCTTCCAGATGCAGAGTCTGCAAGGTGGGGAGGATGCCATGCTGCGTCTGGACCAATTGGAGGCGCTCTACTATGAGTTGCAGCTGCAGCTGTATGATATACAGGCAGAGGTGCTGCGCTGTGAAGAGCTGCTGCTGACTGCACAGCTGCAGAGTCTACGCAGGCAAATGACAGGTGAACATCTGTTTTTGCATCGTTTAGTGTGACAGACTGGTGGTTACTACAGATACTGTATGTTGATATTGCAGTACTATATGGGCAGAGAAGTAACAACACACAACACATAGACTGTATAATTAAGATGGAAGACATGACAGCTCACCAAAAGTGAAGATGCTTTATACCAGCTATATAAACCAAGAACATGTCCAAGCTGCACTGATAAACTGCATTTTGCTGAATCTGTTCTGATGTTGTACCAGAGCGACAGGATGAGGTGGTGTACTATGATGCTTTTGAGAGCCCCGATGCTATGAAGGGTGAAGAAGATCCTGCAACCCCGCCGTCCCCCCTCAGAGATGAAGAACTCAGTGTCCTACAGCAGAGGACACGGCAGCTCGAAGCCCGCAGAGGCCGCATCACTGCCAAGAAAGTCTACCTCAAAAACAAGAAGGTAAGCACTGATGATTCATTAGGCGGTGAGATGCTGGTAGTTGTTGAGGCTGCTGGCCTTTTTAAGCAGTGCTGGAAGAAGTATTCAGATCCTTTACTTAAGTAAAAATTACTAATACTACGCTTTGAAAATACGCCTAATGTACAGATACCTTGAATTTTTACCAAAGCACAGTACTTGAGTAAATGAACTTAACTACATTTCACCACTGCTTTGAAGACTCTGGTAAGTCTTATGTAACAGCTGCACAGGTTAGTTTATTAGTTCATTCATGTGCTTTTTTCTTGAATAGGAAATCTGTATTGTCAATCACAACCAGAAGTTACAACAGCGACAAGGTAGCCATGCTGATTCCCTGCAGACACTGCAACAGGTAAGACTCAAATACTTATCACAGTCTTTGGCTTATGAAGAAATAGAAAATAAAATTTCCTGTGTGTTTTGTCTCACTTTAAAGATATAGGTAGCGTAGGTGGAGAGGTCCTTTTTAAGCTATGTTATTGTAATTGCTTTTATTACTGCGGTTTGTAATATTTGTGAGGCATACATCTTTTTCCTACTGTGAATTATATCTTGTTTCACTCCAGCAATTGCTGTCAGAGGATCCCTTAGCAGTTATCATTAAATACTTTGCTCACAGTGGTAAATATTGATTTCCAAAAGTTATCTAACAGTGGGCATTGCCAAAATATTTTCACATGGGTAGCCATGCTCTCTCATCATCCCTCCTACAGCTACCTGAATGGTTTGGATTCATCTTTGTCACAGTTTGTGGTCTTCTGAAAAATCTGTTATTTCTTCCATTGAAATTCTCTCCAGGAATTCAGGTTGGCCTGAGCAGACTGCTTTTTAAGCAGTTGGGGTCCAGTTATTTAGTCTAAATGAACTTGTTACTACATCAGAGCTACTCTGTTGTTTCCTGTAAAGGGAGGTGAAGCTGAGGAAGATGAAGCCAAGAGCAACACAAGAGTGAGTCAGGAGAGGCAGCGAACTCTGGACCGACTCCGCAGCCTCAAACAGGTGAGCACTTAGAAATCCACTAATGATCAACTCCTTCTGAAGAGGACCTTTAAAATGTGATCCTTGTGTCTGACCTCTTTTTACTGACTCTCCATATCAGCGTTATCCAGGCCAGGTGACTGTGAAGTCCAGCCGGCTGCGTCTGAGTCAGCCTCACAGTCGGAGGAGAGCCGGACAGCAGCCCAGCACTCATTCAGCCAGCGTTCAGACCGACTGCATCTTAGATCTCCCAGAACTCTCTGCTCCTCCACCACCCGACGTCTGCGGCTGCGACAGTGTCTCTTTACCTACAGTTGAACTTGAAACTCTTGACTCTTCATCTCCATTCCTCTCACTGCCTCCCCTCTCGGCCTCCCCATCTATTCTTTCACTGGGTCCTCCTCCCCCTCCTCCTCCTCCTCCTCCACCTCCCCCGCCTCCTCCACCACTTCCTCCCTCAGAGGACCAGCAGCAGGGTGAGGGGAGGGGACATAACCCCAGCCCAGTGCAGCATCATAAATGCGAGTCAGAATCTTCCTCTCTACCCCTGGCTCCATTTTCCCCTCGATTCTTTGACAGCAGTCAGCTACAGACGGCGAGGAAGAAGCTGAAGAAAACAGCCTCGCTGGACTCGTCGCAATGGAGGAGAGGTGAGGAGGAAACTTGCATTTTTCACTTTATAATATAACAACTGAAAAGTCTTTGGTTCAGTTATAATCCTATAGATTTCAGTCCTGGTTTATTTGGCGCCACCTGTGGTTATACATAGTAGTAATAAGTGCAGTTAATATGACAGTTCCCAGAAGTCTTAGCAGCAAACAGTTGTTGAGCAGCTGCTTTGTTACAGATACAACAGGAGAGCAGGTGGTGTATCTGTTTACAGTGCAGCCAAACAAACTCATATTTTAATATAGAAGCCATGGGATAATCTGCCTTTGTTTCAACTGATTTCATGATTTCCAGTGCCGACCCCGCCTCTAATAATGAGAACTGCAATATATAGATGTAATAACATAATATGAATAACTTTTATTTGAATAGTACCCTTTATACATCCACTGTCCAAAGTTTAACACAGTTTGGCATCAGAAGTATGGCAGCAGATCTGGAAGTCAGTTACTATTTGTCAAATACCTTCCTGACCTTTGGTGTTTATTGCACTTCCATAGCTTGACAAGCTATTTTCTACAAAAACTGATGCATGTTGTGATGCTTATTGGCATTTTTTTTTTTGCAATTAAATTGCAGAAGCATGTGAAAATTTCAAAAATTGTCACAATTTCTTCCTTTTTTTGTTTTGTATAATTCATTAAAAATCAAAGGCAACTTGTCCCAGTGAGAATAAAAGTGCAGTGTTCTGAGTTTGTGATGTATACTACACAAATATTACCACTAACCATGCATATTTAATCAACTCACCTTGACTCTTTCAGCACGTGCAACAGATCTGGATGCAACAGCCTCTCTCATTGTGATTTGTCTTTTTCTGTCAATGCATCACAGCCATTCTCTGGTTGTGTTTTGTGGTAGAACAGTGTTTGCCAGTCCATGATTGTCATTTGTGTTCAACCAAACGTTGCTCGCGGTGCAAAACTGTTAACCTCAACGTTTGTTCAGAACATCAGGGAAATTCCTTGCATGGTCTTTAGCAGTTTGTTGGTAAATGTGAGATGTTTGTGTCACTCATGTTTGCTTCTCCACAACCAGAAACAAGGAGTGTGGGTGTGGTAATGTCATGTGGGGGAGATCTATGATTGGTCAGATTCACTGGAAACTGAGATGATTGGTCAAATTTGTGGAAAGGTTGCGTTGATTGGACAAAATTGCAAGATCATGCAGAAATCACAGGGATTGGTTGAATTTGCATCCTGGAACGGCTGAATAACTGACCATTGCTGTGGACGCATTTCTCATCAGAGACGCTTATTGGAAGCAAGAAAATAATTTTTAAATCAATAAAATCATTTTTTAAATTAATATTTTAGGTTAAATGACTTATTTCTTTAGTAAATAGCAGTGTAATAAGTAGGACAATATACAGGGAGCGGCTCATTATGGCAAGATGAACATCGACAAGGTGATGCAGGGACCGGACACAAAGCGAGCTGCTTGCTTTACATTATCACCTACATAAACTGAAAGTATGCCTGTTGTGTTGGTGGATTTTGCTGCAGGAGGCTATAGAGTCTTTTTTGTGGAACTTAAGTCAAACACCATTAGACCTGCACCAAACACTGTGAATATACTGCTTGCTGGGGCACCCTCTCTCTCTCTCTCTCTCTCTCTCTCTCTCTCTCTCTCTCGTGAATAAACTGTCCTATCGATTAAAGGCAAAAAAGCCCTAAAAAAAAATATCTTTAAAAAAAAGCTAGCTTAAGTAGCTTGGAAGCTCATCAGCTCATAATGTGCAAGTGAAGTGTTGATTTCAGCAAAAACTTAAATGAGTAAAATAAATTTTTTTCAAGTTTTAGCATCAAATTAATTATGAGTATAAATTTTTGTTAAAAAGTTGCATGGAAGTACTGCAAAATGTGATGTGATAATAAATAATTCCACTGGTTCTCCTTCATACTTTCATGCTTTGGCCGCTATGATTGTCAAATGGGTATTAAATTGCTTTTTATCTGGTATTAAAAAGTCTTTAACTTGTATGTGAGGCTAACTGCGGCATCTGTGCGTTTCTGCAGCGAGTTCCCCCATGGACGAGGTGCTGGCCTCTCTCAAACGTGGCAGTTTCCACCTGAGGAAGGCCGAGCTACGAGTCCTGGGCCCCGACCCAGACGACGACAGCAACAACATCCTGGCTCAGATCCGGCAGGGCGTCCGGCTGAAGAAGGTACGGACCCGGCCGGAGCAGCAGCGTCACACCAAGAGCTTCCCCCACTCTGCCGACGCTCTGACCCGTAGCATCCACGAGGCCCTGCGGAGAATCAAGGAGGCTTCGCCAGAGTCAGAGTCGGAGGATGAAGGCCTTCCATGCACTGACTGGGAAAACTAAGCTTATTGGAAGTTTATAAATTCCATCTTTTATGGATATTTGGAGCCAAAATGAAGACAAAGCAATGGCTTAAATCACCTGGAGATACCGTGGTGCAATTTGAACAAAAACCCTTGATTTTTTTATAATAGAAAACTGCTCAGAAGTATGTGGGTTTTTTTTTACTCATGCTTCTGTGTGTTGTTTGTAAAGATGGACCACTAATCTTTTTTTATGTCATTGCTGTGGCATTCTTGGCGAGGATACAACCTCTAACCTCTCATTATGTTAGTCTACATGTCAGAGTTGTACTGTAGCTTGCTGTGATGGGTTTGTTTTAGGAAGTGAGTATTATGTTTTTTACGTTTCTCTCACTTACAACGACACAGTAAGCATTCAGACTTGACTGAATACGTGTGCTGTACACTTTTACATTCAACTACGTGACAACCATCTGTACTGTATCTTTCAGTGCATAAAATGCCTAAACGTGTACACGTGATAGAACAATTCCCACTTCCTTAAAGGACCTTTTTGGGGGAATATAGCTACTGGCTGTAACTTTGTATTTAGCACACAAATGCTCAGCATAAAAGACAAATTAGCATATTTCCCATAATGTCAAACTTTAATTTGCTAATCTGGATCATTTTTATCATCCTGGTGGGAAGAGTGCCAAAACTGGCACTAATTTGTGTTTAGCAAATTACCCATGCCTGTTTTTAGCATTTTTAATTTAAAAATGATAAATAGCTACATATAGAAATAGTTAAATATAAAGTAAGAATATGTTCTAACAAAAAAGAGGTTTTGGAGGAAGGATATCAAACTCGGCGTCAGTCTCCATCATCTGTTCTTAAAAAAGCAGGAAGTTAGTTATTGTAGTTTTCAGCAGTTGAAGCAGTAGCAGCTCATGGAGGCTATGAAGGTGCTTTAAAACTTTTAGCGCCCTTTTGCCACGATTTGCACCAAAAATTGCGCTTCTTCTCAGAGTCATAACTCATTCAAATCTGAACACACAGACATGATGCACATATTTTTAGATTTAGTGGGACTTACACTTCCCGAGGATGTCATTATCTCTAATGTCTTGCTTCAAAAACATCCTCAAATCTGCTTAGAATTCATAGAAAAAAGACACTCCTTTTGAATGCAGAGCTTTAAGTTCCTACAGTAACAAAGTAAAACAGTGATAGTTGTCTGTACATCCATTGGTACACTACAAACAGGAACTGCTATCACCTAATTCGGCATACTTTTAATGGTGCCAGTATGCCAAAATGGGGCTCAAGTTGTAGCTCACAGCTAACTCACTGACTCCATTACGTTACACTTCCTGTATACATCACCCAAAGCACAATCCATTGGCTATTGGTATGACGATATAGCAGATATCAGAGCAAAGACTTCCACTTCCATGTGGTGGTCATTTTGGCTTAAATCATTGTCTGATAATAGCTGATGGGTTCTGAGGTTGCATTTCGACCAGTGCGTTCCACCTTTCCACATGGACTGTTTACCTGTTACCAAAAGTAATTGGTCAGTACTATTCAGACCACAAATGGACTACAAATGGAAACCAGAACACTTCTGACAGAAATCTTGTTCTGTCGCCTACAGATTCTTGAGAGATTACCCCAAAGCATAATAGGAAATGTAATTCCAAAACTTAAAGCATTATTTTAATAATAGGGCTGACAAAACCCATTGATATTTAATATATACTGAATTTGTGTCACCTTGAAAATTGCTGATCTAGTTTAACATGCTGTATCTGATAGAGCTGCAGTACATTAGTGAGAGAGTTTATGTTAGGATATGATCCAAACTAACTGTTTACCTTCAGCCCAGACAGGATCAGACTTTTAGAAGCTCAGCGCAGCTGGGGCAGAAATACAAAGTAAACTTGGAAATACCAACACTGGAAATTTTAACACACAATCAGCTGTCGTTCTCCAGATCATTATTAATAACAAATATTATCTGTTGACGTGCGTTCTATGTTTTTCCTCCTCCAAGGATGCCATTTTAACTGGGACAGTATTTTGACAAAATATATTATATGATATATACATATATATTCAGCACCAACTGGAAAAAAAAAAAAAAAAAGATTACTTGAATCTAACTTTGGTCGTTTCATGTGATGGACTGATTGTGCTGTCACTCTTTGAGATGGAAAAGAAATGGATGGATATAATATTTTAATATCTGCAGATTCCCCCCGATGAATTATAATGTTCTACATTGTGATCATCCTCCGTTATGATACATTATCCTTTAATAACTCTTAAAGACCCATTAACAAATGACCAAAAAAATGTATCTAAAAAAGATGGCAGTGCGTCAAGACAGATGATGAAAACCTTTTTATGGGGCTCTTCTCTTAAAATAGTATTATTAGAGCTTAAACAATTCAGCGGATAATTAATCTGTAATTATTTAAACAATCGATTAATCATTTAAGTCATTTGTTAAAGTACAAACTCAAATTATTCTCTGGTTGTAGCTTCTCCAACGTGACCATTTAATGCTTTTCTCTGTTTTATGTCTTTTTGGACATTTAATGACATCACTTAGCATTTTCACCATTTTATAGACTAAATGATTAATCGATTACTTGAGAAAACAACCTCCAGATTAACTGATGTTTCATGGGGTCTTTAAAAAATGCTGAGGCAATGTTTAATCTTTAACAAAGTCCACATGTGGAGGATTTCTGGTTTGAATGCATGATGCACAAACTTTTCTATGCTGCATGTTGAACTAAACCTGTCTTTGGGAATTAGTTCAGCTGAAGTCTGAAGCTTCATCGCCCTCTGCTGGTAGCATACGCAGCCTCCTGCTCTCAACATTCGGATCATATGTGATGTTTATATTTATTTTTACTGTCATTTTTATTAACCTGACAGAGAGTCTCTGTCTCTCCTTCCACTGCCTTCCAACATTTGTTTTACAAGCTTATATACTTACTGGAGTTGTTGTTTGAGTTTGTTGTGTGTGTGTGTGTGATTTTATACCAGTCTTTTTATTATGTGTTAAACCCTGTCAAACTGTCTTTAACTGAAAATCACATTTACGTTTCTGTATTTAACAAGTCATGCACTGAGTACCATGGCTAATTTTAAAAGGGATAGTTTGACTTAAGTGAATTTATTCATTCACTTTCCTGCCTGAGAGTTAGGTGAGAGATTAGATGCTACTCTTACGTCTGTGCAGTAAATATGAAGCAGCAGCCAGCAGATAAATATATCTTAGCCTAGCAGACTGGAAAGACTGGACTGGAAATGGGGAAACAGCTAGCCTGGCTTTGTCAAAAGTAAAACAAATTCACAATAACTGTGACCATGTGCTTCCAGGCAATCCCACTTTTTGCCAATTGGCATGTGAATCCATATGGAAGTTATGCACCTTTTTGTGAAAGGCAACTCCCATTGCCTTCCATTAAGATTTATGCCTCATCTGAAGTATTTTCAAGTAGTATATATATATTTTTTTTTTTCAGTTAGACAGGAGAAGAAGACTTTGAGAATGAAGACTAACTGGTTGGTCTGGCAAATGTACGTTTGGGTAACTGCATTTAGTTGCTGAGCAGCCAGACCCCTCAGAAGTTGGTAGAGACCAAAACCAGAGCTAAAAGGGAGTGAATATTTGATGTCTATTCATCAGGTTGGATGTCTGAGAAACTAACTGTTTTCTTACATTGATACTTGAAAGGTGATAGTATGAAGTTTGTGTTCAGTTACTGCAGGTTCAAGCATTGTAGAAAACAACTGGCGGGACATAGTTTGTCTAAAACAATCCCCCTTGAAACCACTGAATTGCAGTTTTTACATATTGGCTAAATAAAGAAGATATGATGTATTATTGTGAGATCTAGAGGTGCTGGTGGGCTGATTTTGGTACCTAAAGAAAGAACCAGGCAAGTTGTTCCCAGTCTTTATGTTCAGCTATCCAGCGGCTGGTTGTAGCTTCATATTTACTGGACAGACATGAGAATGGTGTTGATCTTCTCATCATCTGCAAGAAATCAAACAAGCATATTTCCCAAAAATGTCAAACTATTCCTGAAATTGTGGAGTTACAGCTCCCATTCAAATAGAGAAACTGTTGCTAAGTGTCACAAATCATCGTGACTGAACATTTTGCATGCAGTAAGACATCGTGGCTCATTCACAGAGGTTGTTAATGATATTAAACATCCTCCAGATCATGTGTAATGGTAAAACTTGGCAACAGATAGTTGCTCAGTTACGGGTAACTTCCTCACACTGCTCTGTCCCTTTCTTTTCTTGAACCATTTTTTTTTAAAAAAACATTTTTGTTAAACTTGTAGATTTCTTCTGACCCTGAACATGACCCAAGTTTGACCTTTAACCTTTTTATGACCTTATGCATGTGACTGGTTTTAGGACGAACCCATCACAACGTAAGTGCAATAATTAAGATGAAAAAGTCATTTTTATTAATTAAATACTGTAATGAAATGTAAAAAAAAAAATATATCCGCATGCCTAAATGTATTGAAGTATTTATTGAAACTTCATATTTTAAAATGATTTTTAAAAGCATACAAATGTAAATGTACTTTATAAGATTCCTTTTTTTTTGCTTTTTTTTTGTTCCTATCATGACATTCCTCTCTGCTTTATATATCCCAATTATATATATTTTTTTCCTTTCAAAATAAAATTAAGCACCAACATTTTGTCTTTGCTGACTCCTTGATGTATAAAGGTTGAACACTTTACTTTAATCCCCCTATTTAGCATTTATAAGCACTTTATAAACATGTAATAGGTGGTTTATAACATTATTTACTCCACACCATTTATTTGACAACATCAGATACAAGTTACTTTGTAGATTCAGATAACAAAAAATATAACTAACAAATTCATTATGATGTATAATTATAGTTTAAGCAACCTGGCAGCAGGTTAAATTTGTTACTACCTAGCAATAGTAGAGTCATGTAAACAATGTGTCAATGATTATAATTCATATATGTAAGTATATATATATATATATATATATATATATATATATATAGTATTTCTCCCACCACTGCAAAATACACAACTTTTATTATAGCCACACCGGATGTGAGCAAACACTTTATTGCTAATTACGTCAAAATTTCAGAGGTGACGTGATGACGTCGTCAGTTAATGCTCCCTACAGAGCAGCAGCGGAGGATGGAGCCGAGCTAAATGAATGAGATGCGGGCTGAAAGAGACCAGACAGGCGGACGATGATGAGAGGATGAAGCCGCCGATGGAGCCCCTGGATCATAATTTGAACCCCGGTTTAACACTCGGATAAATAACGCAAACAATGAAGTAAACAATAGGACAGCAGCTTGTTTATGAGTGGCTGCACATACATCAGACCTACACATTTTTCGGTGAACATCGACGTCCGTAAAGCCGAGCTGGAGGATGATGAAGATAAAACCTGGATTATGCCCCAAGTGTTTTCTGTCTTTTCTCCAAAAACACCGGAGACCAAGCTCCCTCTTGAGAGAAGATGTCCACCATCACAGAGCGGCGGTAAAGGTCTGACTTACTGCAGTTAAAAAACTCTTTAATGCCACACTAGGTTGGAGAAATTTAATTTAATGGCACAGCGGACTGAAAGAAAGAGCCAGCGACTGAAAGTGGGATTTATGAACAGTCGGTTTGTTGAGTTTTTTTCGGCTGAGGACAACTAAATCTACATGTACCAGTTTGTCAGATTCCAGTGTTTTTCACACCAGCAGCAGCTAACGGAGTACTTAAATCAAGCTAGCGACGTGTGGATAAAGCTCTTATTTAGCGCTATTTTACCGGTTTGACAACATTTTTGTGTTTCTCTTTCGAAATACACTGTTTGTATTCAAAAAGGCAAGTTCACAAGCTTAAATTGGTGATAAATCACACTGCCTTTCCTGTCAGTGTTGCCCCGAGTTTAGCTCGTTAATCCTCGTTTGTGAGTTTTATTTGGCTAACGGCTGCAACTAACTACTAGCGCCAGTGCTGCTGCTTCTGTCTTCATCATGAATGCACAGACACGTTTCCTCGGATGAAACCACCAAACGAAAATGTACCCAAGGGCATAACAACAACAACAACAACAACAACAACAACAACGAGCCCATGTCTGGTGAGAGAACAGCACCGTGGCTCCGCCGGCCGTGAAGCCACAACAAGCAGAGCGGCTTTAGTTGGACACAGACAGAGATAGAGAGAGGGGATCAGAAGCTGAAGCTAGCCTCCAGCCTGTTCACACCGCCCTCAAGAGACCACCGAGAGGATCATTTTCAACTCAACTAAAGCCACCAAAATCCAGCAAAATGGGGTATGTAACTTGCATGCCAAGCTACAGTTGTCATTCGGCGTGTCAGGGTATGGCTGACGTTGTTTTTGTGGATTTGAGTAGCCCCAATGCAGATTTCAGCAGAGCATTACAGCTGCACTGTCTTGCAAACACTGCTAGCTTAGCCACCCATGGCTAACTGTATGAAGTACTCCTGTCATACTGAAGGAAATGCTTGTCCCTCTGTGGCAAACTGCCCCAGACATACAACAAATAAACCACATACTCCTGATAGAAGTAGCCGTCCATCATTTATCCACTCACAGCCTCCATACACTGACAAAAATTAGGCAGTAATGCAGTAAACTACTGTTGTGAAAGTATCAGAGCTCAGACAGTTGCTTATTTTGGTACAATGTGATTTAAAGCAATATAAGACATTATTGTTTTTCTGTCAGTTCCACAAGAAAATATAGTTTCAAAGAGTGTAGTGTTTAATTTTGTGGTGCCAAAGGGAAAGCAAACCTGCTTAAATCCCCCGGCAGACAACAATGAGCTCTCCTGCACACTTGGCTCGTGTAATGCATGCTGCTGAACCTGCAGATGTATGGTGATTCTCCTGATCAAGAGCGACCTAGTTCTTACTCCAGATGAAAGCAGATGATGTAGCATGTGATTGGTTTGTTGTCATATTGTGGTAGGGCAGGGTGGGGTGGAGGGTAGTGGGTGGGGGGTGAAGCACATCCTCTGTAATTCTCAAGGCCATTGGTTATAATCCAGTCCAACAATCAATTCCTCAGAGCAGAAAAGAGAGCGTGTCCTGTGTGTGCACTTACCCCCTAATTAGCAAGTCAGACTTAGCTGTTCCAACAAGTACTGGAGCTTCTAGTCATGTATAATAGATGATTGTAAACAAGCTGTCCTCTTCAGTATCGGCTCTTTTGAATAAAACAGTGTCCAGATGATATTTTCTACTTAACAGTGAGGCCAGTAGGTCAGAGTTCAACTCGCTGCCACCATGTTTTCACTAGAAACAGACATGTATTTTGGGAGCACAGGAATTCAGGTATGACAAGGACATATTGACACCTGTTATACATAGACTACATAAGAGAACAGACCATTTATTGTTTACTGTCATTGGCTAACAGGACTAAGTACAGCTTACTTGAAAGTATGGTTTATCACAGATTCCCCTTTTATCTTTAGTAGTGTAATGAGCTGCATATTGACCTTGCAGATGTCATTTTTTTTACTTTTAGTGAAGCACACTTTTGTCTCCCAAAATAGCACTTTGACTTTATTCTATAGCAACAGCAGAGAGGTCAATAAGAGGAGAGAAAGGACCTCCAGCAACAAAGGTTCCTGGGCAAACTGGGGACGTTGTGATTAGATGCTTCGCATTTTAACCTGTAGGCCATTCATTAGGCATTCACTTTGAAACTAGTCCAATTAAACATTATTGTGAAAAGATCTCACATGAATTATTAGCAACAAACTAAGACTGGAATGTTGGAGCTAAACTAAGTACAATACATTGTCCACCAACAGGTGTAAAACAGGCTCTGCCAAAATTCATACACATTCAGAAGTAAAGGAACAGAATCTGATCATGTGGCTGTTGGTACAACTCATGTTTAAGGTGCCACTCCTCACCCCTTTGCTTCTCTGAGCAGCTCAAGACAACATGTATCACTCCCAGACTTTACAAGAGAGACAGACAGTATAGTAATGCAGCTATGTGTCTTTTTTTTCTCTCTCTCTTTTTTGTTTGTATTTGGTGCGGTTCCCGAGTTCATGATTAGAACTAGGCGTTGTCTCTAAATGCAAGGACTATCATAAAGGAAAGGAGATGCTGCCATCCTAAAAGTGCTCAACCCAAGGATGTTTCAAAAAGAGATGGAATTTTTTGTGGATGAAGTGATTAGTGTATTGCCAGAAAATTAATAAGCAAGTACTGTGATTATCAATTAATAATTTCAGCAGAACGTGGCAAAATCTCCCTGGTCCAGCTTCTCCAGTGTGAATATTTGCAGTTTCTTCCTCATCTTCTGTCATATTAAACAGAATATCTTTTGGTGTTGGACTGCTTGGTCAGACAAAACAAGACACTTCTAGACAATACTGTGGGCTCTGGGAACTTGTGATGTCTGTTCTATAGCCCAAATGATTACAAGATATTAAAATATGGATCGGTCTATAGTAAAATGATCGTTAGTTGAAACCCTTTTTCAAATGGCACAGAGTTTACGTTCTCAGCTGATGTTGCACGGTTATGTAGTGTTGGGTTTTCTAAGCATGAATTTAGCCATTTCATAATGCAACGTTTCTCTTTCACTTCTCATATTGGTCTTATTATATCTTCCATGGAGGTCAAGGATAAGTGATTTGAAAAGGCAGCAGACATACTATAACTTTCTCTTGACTTATTACACTCAGACAATTGAAAAAGACAGTCAGTCGTCAGTGCGTCCCTGTACCTTGAGAAATTGTTAGAAGAAAAGACTGAAAGTGGCGACCAAAATCTTTTTTAAATGTGAACATTTAAACACACACTCTTTCTTCATCTGTTACTCATTTCTATCTGCCGCTGAAAGCTGTGAGGCCGGTGAATGACATATGGGTGTTTTCAAACTGGAGATTGTGTCTTGCCAAGTTCCTGCTGCCTCCCTCTGCGAGTGGGTTAACCCGACAAGGACGCTGGGATCGGATTGGGCGAGAGAGCATGTGGAAGGAAGGAGAGAGAGAGGAGAGAGAGTTGGAGGATGTTTGCTGCTCATGACCAGCCCTGAGTCACATGGCTGTTACCATGACGACACAGCAGCTAAGTTAGTAATGCAGGGTTATTTTTCCTGCAAGCACAGACTGCAACCGTCCGTACTCTGACACTGTTTTCTCCTGTAGTCAGATCATTTTATTTTTTCTGTGTATGAACATTAATGTTTACTACTTTATAATGGCATCATGAATTAATATAGCTGTTAATTCTTATTTTAAGAGTGTAAATGGAACTTTATAAGAAGACACTGTATTGAAAAGAACATGAGCTGCTACGATTAGTTAATTGATAGTAATTATAATGAGAACATTTGCTGGTTTTCTTTGTGTTTTATGGCATTAAACGGAATATCTTTAGATTCTGGACTCTCAGATAGACAGAGGACAACAAAAAAAGAGAATTTCAGTTTGGGCTTTGGCGAAATCGGGATGAGTATTTTTTTTTAGTTTTTTCCCCCTAACATTTTGAGGACCAAATGATTTTTATGTTAATCAAGAAAATAAACAAATGAATCTATAATGGCACAAGATTCTGTGTGTACCTATAGTGAGCCACATCAAAGACAAATTGGTATTAAAATTAGGACTGAAATATCTTCTCAAATGCAAGGTTGTATTGCTTTTCTCAGTTTTATGTCATTATAAATTAGTTTTCTTTGGGTTGGGACCAAGCGACAACCTCAAGGGTAGAAAAATAAAGCCAATGCACAAATGCCAAAAACTGCAGTTCCTCTAATGGCCACTTGAGGCTGGCTCCAAAAGTGAATTAATCATAAATCCCAATGTTAAAATGCCCAGCTTTACAGCGGAAGTAAACATGTTCACAGTCGGGTACAAAAAGCGGTTTTGGTCTCTGTACTCTTATTTTCCACTTTGTGACAACTGTATGGAGGATGAATGTTTACACAACTCTCTGTTTGCATTTTATTAAGGCTTAAAGTTACATATGATTAAAGGCAGGGCTGCTTTGAGTGACAGATTTTCTGCAAGGCTTCACCACAGTGAGTCAAATCCACCCCTCACTCCTCCATAGCTCCACTCTCTATGGTCACTTCTGGCTCCCAGAATCAAAAGCCCCTTTTACACTCCCAGAATCAAAAGCCCCTTTTACACTGCCAGATTTTCCGCAAATGTTGGGCCGTTTTGTTGGCAAGCTGCAAATATTTAGACACACGGAGCCGGATTGGTGAGTTGATCCCAGGTGCCCAATTTTCTGCCTTGTAGGGTAGTCATATTGGTGGAACCCTTTTAGTTTAAACAGACCGAGGCTGCCTTCCACAACGGGAGGGGCTGTTGAAGACTTGTGGGAGGAGCTGTTGATGACACCGCACGTGCGAGCCACTGGCGGTGGATAAACAGGAAACAGCTGATAGCAGGAATTAGCTATTAGCAAGAGGGAAATGCAAACCTGACAGACATTGTAAAGATGAGCAGCTGGGGAGACAAGGAATTGCGCGCCCTCCTTGTCCTCGCAAACGAAGAGGCCATTAACCATCAAATGACGGGGACGGTGAAGAACGGGCCGTCGTACAAGAGAAAGCACAGAGCTCCTGAAGGAGCTCCCGAAGAACTGACTAGCCGTGGCTTCCCTCCCACGTCACTATTTACATCACACGCTGAGCAACATGTTTTGTTACTTGCTCACGCCCCACATTGCCCCGAAAAAGGCGCACTATGTACACTGCCTGGCCAAAAAAAAAGTCACCACCAAAAAAAAAAGGTCATACACTCTAATATTTCGTTGGACCGCCTTTAGCTTTGATTACGGCATGCATTCGCTGTGGCATTGTTTCGATAAGCTTCTGCAGTGTCACAAGATTTATTTCCATCCAGTGTTGCATTAATTTTTCACCAAGATCTTGCATTGATGATGGTAGAGTCTGACTGCTGCGCAAAGCCTTCTCCAGCACATCCCAAAGATTCTCAATGGGGTTAAGGTCTGGACTCTGTGGTGGCCAATCCATGTGTGAAAATGATGTCTCATGCTCCCTGAACCAGTCTTTCACAGTTTGAGCCCGATGAATCCTGGCATTGTCATCTTGGAATATGCCCGTGCCATCAGGGAAGAAAAAATCCATTGATGGAATAACCTGGTCATTCAGTATATTCAGGTAGTCAGCTGACCTCATTCTTTGAGCACATACTGTTGCTGAACCTAGACCTGACCAACTGCAGCAACCCCAGATCATAACACTGCCCCCACAGGCTTGTACAGTAGGCACTAGACATGATGAGTGCATCACTTCATCTGCCTCTCTTCTTAC